TATATATATATATATATATATAGGGTGTGATTGGCCACCCAAAATATCATCTTTTAATAAAAATCTTAAAATTAATTAAGATTTATTAAAAAAAATTTAGGTCTACGAAATCAGAGTTGGGTCTGAGAGTACAGCTATGAGTGAGGAAGGTATTAGCACCTTCACGTCTCTTATTCAAGGAACGGTACTAATTAAACATGTGTAATCCTTTAATTTTGATGATGTGATCTTTTTTATATTTAAATTTAATTTCCTAAAATTTATTCATGAAAGATTTTTTTTGTTGTTGTGAAGTTAGTATTATTATTATGCCGTATTTTATAAATTCTCCATCACTTTAGTAGAATTTATAGAAAATCTTTGTTTAAAAAATATTTCGGGAAAATTAATCATTTACAAAATTTTTGAATCTCGTCATAAGATATTTATTTATTTATTTTAAAAAAGATTTTAGAAACATTCCGACTCTTTGGAGAGTTTTTAAAATTTATTGAACAGATTTTAGGATTATTTCAACTATTTGATAAAATCCTAACAAACTTTAAAATCATCTCAACTTTCTTACGAGATCTTAAATAAAATTACTTTTTGTTGATGATAATTAAGAGATTTAATTAATTAATTAATTCTTATTGTGCTTATTTTAAATTATTTATTATTTATTTCTTTTTTAAATTATTTTTATTATATAAAAAAATTTAGATTATCCTAACTCACCGGTGAAATATAAATATTAATCTTTTGTTTGTATTAAAGAAAATCAAACTCTTTCAATTTTTCACATTTTTTAAAAATATTTATTCAAAATATCAATTATTATTATTTTATTTTTACATTGTTTACATAAACCTTTATTATAGTCAAAATAATTTTGGATTATTCCATTTCTATGGTAAAATTCAAAAAATTATTTTTACTTACAATAATTAAAAAAATTTGAACTCTTTCAATATTCTCCAAAAATTACATTTAAAAGATTTATTTAAACAATTTATCATTTCCTTTTTATTTTATTTATCTTTATTTTATTTTTAACTTTTAGCAAAAATATTTTTTTAAATTATCCTAACACTTTAATGAAATTTAAATAACCTTTTTTGCTTGCAATAAATTTTTATTTTTCTTAAATAGTTATTATTATTATTATTATTATTATTATTATTATTATTATTATTATTTAAGGTTTATGCATATATTTTTTTAGATCCATATTTTATTTTAGTTCTATCTTTCATTTTATTTATTTATTTCTAAAAGAATTATTATTAGTAATAACATAAAATAACAATACTAATAATAGCAATAACAATAATATCAATAAAATAAATAAATAAAAATAAATAAAAAAAACAAAATAAATAAAATCAAAATCAAAACAAAAAAGAACAAGAAAAAGGAAAGGAAAAAGGAAAACCTACCAAATGGGTCTGGTTGATGCAGGTTGATGCATGTATCCTGCATGAGTCGAGCACGGTTCAAAGCCTAAAACGATGTCATTTTGAAGCACCTATAAAAAGCTTGTTTTTTTTTTTGTTTTTTTAATTTTTCTTTCCCTTCTCTCTCTACCCCCAAAGCCTCTTTATTTAGGAAAAAAACTTCCCTGCTAGCCATTGTGTTATTAAGTTTTTGGCATGTTACCATTGTTCACCAATGGCTAAAAAATTCAACCGGTATCAGAAAGTTCAAAAATTTCAGATTCCGACCAACTTCCCAATTTCTGGTGGCCAAAAAATTCAACTATCATAAAAAAAATTCAACTATCATAAAAAAATTCAAAGTTTTTTAGTTTTTGATGACCTAAAAAAATTTCAAAAAATACTCAAAATAATTCCTTTGATTTTCCAAATATCTTTCTTAAGATAGTTTTTAAAAAGAAAATCTATAAATGCCTAGATCGAAAACTAAAAATAATTATGTTTTTGAATTTTTTTTTTTGCTAGCTCTTCTATCAAAGAGAACTATGATCATTCTTTTCTTGTATGTATGTTGCTTTTTTTTTTTAACAGTGGTAACCTAGCAACCTTAAAAATATATATATATTTTTTTGCAGTGTTCTCCCTTCCCTTGGTTCACTGTATTTTTTTTCTTAGACTTTGCACTGAGTTATTCTTCCATCCCTTTGTTTGGCAAAAAAACTTGGCTTTATTTATAAAGCTAAACAAGATATCAAAATCTTAGAAAATCTGAAAATTTTGTGAAATTTTTGGGATTTATGGAAAAACTTATTCGGTAACCAAATGTCACAGGATTTCATGTTGCAACATTAGGTAGTGTTAGGGAAGAAAAAATTATTCTAGCAGTTTGATTTCAACTGCTATAGTTGAAATTAGATTTTTTTTTTATTTTGATTTTTTTAATTAATAATAATAATATAAACAAAATTATATTTAAGTTTGAATAGAATCGGACAAAATTGATGCCTATATTTAATCTACATATATATGTTTCAACTTCAAGTGCATAAAATTTATGCTAGAAATGGTACCTTGACGAGTCTATTCACAACTTGAAGCTGGCATTAGCAGAGGGGAAAGGCACCTTGCAGTAGAATTTTATGTGTGCGAATATATATGAGTCTTCTCAAGGAATAAATTATTGCTTTCTATAAATAAGATGGAAGCTACATAAGTTAGCATTTTCACAGAAGCAACATCAGTCACAAAAAACCAAAGAAAAGCATCTTTAAATATATATATATATATATTTTCTATTTTGATTTGGCAAAGGGAGAATTCAAGCCATATATAATCTTTGAACAAGAGATTATGCATCAATCATTAAACGCCAAGTGCTCGAGTGCAGCATCTTTGGATGGTTAGTACTACATGAATTAATAATCAAACTGATGCGTTAAGTGCAAGAAAAAGGGAAATCTACAGTTGATCATCCAAGTCATAAAAGCAGAAGGGTATTGCAAAGGCCTGCTAAAAATAATGTTTGAATTGCATATTTGAATTGCATATAGTGGAGCTAGCAGCCTTGCACCAAAGAATTCTAGCACGTTCTGCACCCTTAATTACCATGATTTCTCAGCGAAGGGACACATCAGCTGCAGCCTTTTCAAACGACAAAGACTTGGGTGGGAATCGGGATACGATAAAAAGAAGAATATATATGATGATTGATAACAGTTAAGACTTCAAAGAGATGGAACAGTTTTGGAATCTTGTGTTAGTGGGTCGGCAGTCCCATTCCAATGTTAGGCTGACATGGATTGTGCTTTGCTTTTAGATAGAGGAGCACAAAAATAGCAATGATGGCGGCAACTGTCAGAAGATGAAGGGGAGCCTTTGATTTTTATTTTTTTTTGAAGTGATTGGAGCCAAGTTAAGGCCTAGTGCGACAGAAGCCATGATCCAGGCCAATCTTTAAATCTCCTCCATGGTGTTCTATTAATGGTGAGTATGCAGACCCGGAAGGAACTTGTTGTTCCCATGACCTAACACCATTTTTATGGGGATTTTGGCTTCCATGTTTAATTATCTGGTAGAGGACCCATAAATTTTCTTATCCAAGCATAACCGATTGCAGTGAAAGATGTTTTTCCTCCTACTAAGGACGAAGGAAGCGGCAACCCGAATAATGGGTTTTTCTTTTCTTTTTCCTGGCATTATAGCCTAGCAAGGATAAAGTATGAGGTATTTGCAAATTTTAAGATAACTCAGAATCCAAATAGATTACAATTAAGCGAGAGCCAACTAAGGATTACTAATATTTACTACTTGAACTTGAGTTAAATTTGATAATCAGTACAAATAAAAAGCTGTTGGGGATTGAAAAAAAATTGTATGTATTAAAATTTGAAATTTAAATTAATAAATATTATTTTTTAAAATAATTATATAAATTAATTAAATTAATTTTTAAATAATATTTTTTTGAAATAATTATATAAATTAATTGAGTTAATTTTTTTTTAATAGGAGTAAATGTTCTACATGCCTATTCAAACAAAAAACATTAGTGCTCTTAAATAACTCATTGTCATTTTGTCATATATGAAGCAATAAAAAATGATGTGATTTTTTTGAAAGAAAATAACAATATTACAAGAAGACATAATTATATAGTTAATTGATGAACTCCATTTTCTGACAAATGATCTGATGATGATCTTTATCTTTTTTCTTTTACGATGGGATCATTCATCATTGTCGTCCTCCTCGAAACCGACTTGCTCTAACTGCACCATATTTAACACCACAATCCACTTTATGATGCATAAATGGACCACGTACAGTGTGGCGGCGAAATCGGTACAATTATCATTCCGGAAATTAAAACCTTCTTTTTATTTATTAGGTATACGATTTGAATTATTGATATGATCCAAAACATAAAATTAGTAGTTTAATCGAAAGCCAAACAGTTCTAATCATGTAAGAACTTCCAGAAATGTTGAAATCATTTTGAAATACCCAAATGAAAAATCTTCTCTTGTATAACAAAAATTCATAGCTAATGAAACTTTGGTTTAATGATAATTAAGAGGTTTTAAAATTTTAAAATTTAAGATTTAAATTTTAATGTGTACAAGTTTAATTTAATTTTATATTTAATTTATCTAATTATATTATAATTTATTTATCTGATTTTTCAATAATTTAAATATAATATTTGATTATAATTATAATTTGTATTTATAATTTTAAAAAAATTTTCATAAAAGATTTAAAAGCAAAAAAAAAAAAATAGTATACATCAAATCGATCAATAATAAATTTTAAAATGAAAAAAATTTTTTTTCTTTACTTTAATTTTTTTTTTCATTAAATTTTATACTTAAATGATCCTGATATGGATCTAATTCGTTATAAAATCAGAATTTATAGAAACAAATAAATAGAACAAATAAAAAACAAAATACATTATGATCCCACGTCAGCGGTGTTACCACAGAAATTCTATGTCATAGGTAAGTATAATTAGAAATTGCCCATACATTATGTTAATATTCATAAACGGTACTTTCTTTTCAATATTTTCCACTTGTGGTTGTGGTTATGTTACTATTTACTAGGATCATATAACAAACAGGTAGGTCAGCGAATGAGTTCACCCAAACGCTTCGAACAATTATGGGTTCCTTGCCTAATGAGACCATCTCTAGGGCGGAGCACCAGCAGGAGCAGCTAGACCTGGAGGATTCTGGTCGAACTGAGAGAGAACAGTGGTTGATTAATTCACCTGTGCCTCCTAGTTTATGGCAGGAACTTCTTAGTGCTGTCAGAGGAAGTGTCTTTCCTCTTGGAAGAAAGAATTCATCGACAAAGGGGAGACGTGCCATGTCATTCCTCCAAGGTCTATTTCCAATCCTCAGCTGGGGAAGGACTTACAATGTTTCAAAATTTAAAGATGATTTAATGGCGGGTTTAACCCTTGCAAGCCTTAGCATTCCTCAGGTATAGATAGCTCATTTGCTCACTTAAGTTTCTCTGTTCTCTTTGTTTTCTCATGAGTCACTGTACTTTTTTGCAGAGCATTGGATATGCTAATTTAGCGAAACTTGATCCCCAATATGGCCTATGTAAGTTGCAGAAAGCTAAGACTTTTACTATGTGTTATGCCGTAAAGCAGCCTGCAAACTTTCTATAATTGAGGAAGAAAAAAGAGACGCTAAATCTGATATATTTGTGTTTTGGGATTGTTTCATCTAGACACAAGCGTCGTCCCACCTCTTATTTATGCGTTAATGGGAAGTTCAAGAGAGATAGCTATCGGACCGGTAGCTGTGGTTTCATTGCTGCTATCTTCCATGGTTCCAAACACGGTGGATCCTGTCGCTGACCCCATTGGGTACAGAAGGCTAGTGTTCAGTGTGACATTCCTTGCTGGGACTTTCCAAGCCATATTTGGATTGTTTAGGTAGTGAATCCGTTTGAAGTGGGAATTTGCATTTTCCTGTGATCAACGCACATGTTCTTCTCTGACAAGCAGTTTATTATCTGATGTTCACAGATTGGGCTTCTTGGTGGATTTTCTTTCACATGCTGCAATTGTTGGTTTCATGGCCGGCGCCGCCATCGTCATAGGGCTTCAGCAACTGAAGGGACTATTGGGAATGAGTCACTTCACCGCTAAAACCGATGTGGTATCAGTCTTGGGCTCGGTTTTCAAATCAGTTCAACATGAAGTAAGTTGTATAGAAAGCAATTCCTATCATATATAAGACTTCATTATGTTAGTCAAAAAAAATAAAAAATCACCTTTCCCACCCATCGTTTGAGCATGATTACCAGTTTGGAATCTTTTGCTTCCATAATTTTCCTTTTCTGATTGTCATAACTTTTTAACAGTCTTATCTCACCCCTTCTGCCTGTCTTGAACAGTGGTATCCTCTGAATTTCATCCTTGGTTGTTCATTCCTGGTATTCCTCCTAGTCGCCAGGTTTATTGTAAGTAATCAAATTCTTGCTTCCCATTTTAGTATTTTTTTTTTTTGGTTTGATTAGTAAGTATCAAAACCTTATCTGATTTTAGGGAAGAAGAAACAAAAAACTCTTCTGGTTCCCAGCAATCGCTCCTCTTTTTTCTGTCATATTATCTACCCTGATAGTGTATCTTACCAAGGCTGACAAGCATGGGGTGAAGATAGTTAAACACGTAAAAGGAGGCCTCAATCCAAGTTCACTCCATCAGTTACAGTTTAAAGGCCCACATGTTGCAGAAGCAGCAAAAATTGGACTAATTTCTGCTGTTGTTGCTCTCACGGTGAGTAATTACTATTCAACTCTTCTTTTTAGTTTCAACTTTTCCTGGCAAAAATAAAATCTGGGTTTGCTTGCTTATGGTAATTCCATTCAAATTACATTATCTCAGGAAGCCATCGCAGTTGGTCGATCATTTGCTTCAATCAAAGGATACCATTTAGAGGGGAACAAGGAAATGATGGCAATGGGTTTCATGAACCTTGCAGGATCTCTAACTTCTTGCTATGTGGCAACTGGTAAGCTGATGAAGCCAATAAATTAATGTTATATATGTAGAACAAATGCAAACGTATATATAGAAAAAAAAATCGTTTTGCATATGTATTGGCAGGTTCATTTTCTAGGACTGCTGTGAATTTCAGCGCGGGGTGCCAGACAGTGGTGTCAAATATAGTTATGGCCATTACAGTTTTATTGGCATTGGAGTTGTTTACCAGGCTCTTGTATTACACACCCATTGCCATCCTTGCTTCCATCATCCTGTCTGCACTTCCTGGACTTATTGACTTCAACGAAGCGTACTATATCTGGAAGGTTGACAAACTAGATTTCCTAGCTTGCATCGGTGCTTTTCTTGGAGTCTTGTTCGCATCGGTGGAGATTGGTCTTCTAGCTGCGGTAATTTTCAAATTTTCTTTTATGCCTTCCTTAGAATGATTATCAGATAACTATAAAATATTTTCACATTCACACTAGTTAGAAACCATTACCATCTATCATATAATTTTTAGGTAGAAATGTCTAAGACGTACATATCCCATCATTGTTGGATGAGTAAATAGCAACATCAGGCTCCAATAATTATGTAACTGTTGAAGCAGGAAAGGTAGGCTTCAGCAAGAGAATCACCTGCATGTACCCATAATCTTTTGAGGAAAATCTTGTACCTCACCTGCAGCAATCAAACAATCAATGCTCATATTGAAATTATTCAAAACTCTTGAGACTTGTGGGTTCCATCTCATAATTGAGCTCCATAATTCAGCCTCCTTGAAATACTTAAAAAGTCAGATTGGAGAAGCTCATATCTTTCGGGCAAATAATTTTTCCAAGACTTGTGGTCAACCTTTTGCTTTGTGGCCTGTCGTCAACTGCTTGCATCTATCTCTTTCTACCTAATATTTGAATGAGCAGATCGAATTCAATCCGGACTTGCTTGTAAGCTAATGAAGGTTACAATCATAACAGGCATAAATAAATTGGCTCTTTCTGAAAAAAATAGTACCATACATTTTGCAGAAACATGGTTCTGTAAATGTTTCCATTGTCAATGGACTTCAAATGTAGGTTGTTGCTAGAATCCATGAATTGAGATTAGTTTTGGTGCTGAATGTCTGTTTAACAGAATTCATTGAGTAATGATGATGCCATTTGGGTTTAACTAAGGCAGTTGAAAGTGAGCAATTGTGGTAAAGATCTTAAGTTTCTCCTCTTGTATCAGCAGAACAAGATAAGTAGATAAAGGTTTGTTTTTTTTTATAATTAAGGTTATCAGGATTTGTTGGAATTAACAGTCCACGACAGTAGCAAGAGTCTATGGCTGTTTGAAAGTTTTGACTCAACTATTCCTGGCCCAACTTAGGTGGCATTGATTTACCATACCAATAATGCCACAAACTCCGCAAACTTCATGTATATTTATTCTTGAAAACATACTCAAAATTCTAATATGCGGTAGTTCAGTAGTTCTTCTGAAAAGTACTAATGAAATTGTACAAATTGATTTTGTGTAACTTATAAAAGGCATTCTGTTTGAAAGTTAATAGATGACATTACTCACCCTTCTTACAATTGCACGTATAATTAGGAAATTTTCCATAATTTGCAGGTAACTATCTCATTTGCCAAGATATTGCTGAATTCCATTCGACCAGCCGTTGAACTACTTGGAAGACTCCCGAGAACAGATATCTTTTGTGAGGTTGATCAATATCCCATGGCCATTAAAACTCCAGGCATCTTGACACTTCGCGTAAACTCTGGCTTACTTTGCTTTGCTAATGCCAATTCTCTAAGGGAAAGGTATGTGTAACTGCAATTTACAAGAGAGGAAAAATTGCTTTGTCTGATCGGTTAAAAATAACATTGCATACCCTTATTTCAGAGTAATGAGGTGCGTGAGAGAAGAAGAGAATGAAATGGTAGAAACTGCAAAAGACACAGTTCAAATCTTAATCATCGACATGTCCAGTAAGTTTAATCATCTTACAGATTCAAGATCAAGAAAAAAAAACTGTAAACCAAGTGGCTCTCCTTTGTGACAGATGTGCTCAACGTTGACACTTCTGGAATTATGGCACTCGAAGAACTGCACAACAAGCTGGTCTCACTAGGCATAAAAGTAAGCTTATTGCAATGCGACTGTGATCTTTATCTGAATTACATGATTTTTAACATTTTCAGGACATTTGCTTACATTTAGCATATGTTTGTACAGTTGGCAATGGTGAATCCAAAGTGGCAAGTCATGCACAAGCTAAAGCTAGCAAAATTTGTAGAGAAAATTGGAGCAAAGTGGGTTTTCCTCAGTGTTGCTGAAGCTGTGGATGCATGCCTTGCTTCTAAATTAGCAAGTACAAGCAACTTCTAATGGCTTCATATACTAAAAAGTATATACAGCTAGGTTTTGATTTTCCATCTCGGTTCTTGATTAATTATTTTTAATCAAGAACTTCAATCAGAAAATTTGAATTAAGTTTGCCCGTATCTGCCAATCTAGTAGCCCTTGTTCATGCTGATATGGCTACTTTAATTTGTATTGCTTTGATCAAGAAAGTTTGAAGCTGCTATCATCTATCTGCAGCTAGGCCTTGATAATGCTTATAATACATCATGTGAAAGATGTTGTGAAATACCCATAGCTTGCAATTTTTTTTTTAATTGCATGAAGCATATGGTTTGACTTTTGACAGTCTATGCTTCATCTTTTTTAATTTATGTAACTGATCATATGTCTAATTTTTACTCTTTAAACAAATACTAACCAGTAAATCAAATACATATATTATTTTTATTGCATTCAAACAATCTTTTAATTTTTAATTTATATTCAAATAAAATTTTAATATTTAATTTGCATCCAAATAAGTCTTTAAATTTTAAATTTATACTTAAATAAATTTTTAACATAAATCATTCTTTCATTTTAAATAAGAGTTATTTAATATAAATAAAAGTATAAGGATTTATTTGGATGTAATAAAAGTTTAAGAGTTTGTTTAAAAAAGTATAATAATTCATAGATTTTTTAAAATATTTTTGCTATTATTTTATTAAGAAAAATGTTAATAATTGTCTAATGACACTAGTTAAGATCAAAAGAAATATATAATTAATTTATTATTTACTCTTTAATTTAATGAAAACAGGGCATTAGATACAAAAATCCTTTTTAAATAGTATTTTAAATATTCTCAGTTAGTGGTTATAAACATCCGTCGAAAATTTTTTTATTAATTCGCTTGAGACATGTACTTAATTGAATTAAAACAATTTTTATATTAAACTCTTGCAATCATTTTGCTCAATTGTATTCAAACAAATCAAAATAAAACTGTGGCAATAATTATTCAATTTATTCATTCTTTAAAAAGAATTATTCCTTTTTTAGTAATGATTGTCAAATACACTAAGGACATGCATTTTAAATTATAATTAATACATTTAATCATTCATTAACCAAATTAGGACATTAACAAGTAGCAACCTATATCTAGAGGTATCAAATAGATTGTGTTGGACCGGCATGACTCATTAAAAAATTAGTTTGTGTTATTAGATCGTATCGATCCAATATTATTATTTAACATATCATATTAATACAATTCATAAAAATTAAAAATATGTTTCAGTATGACACATAATTTATAGTCTTTATGGGTCGTATTATGCCTAACACAATAATATTCTTTCTATCACATCTAGTATAAAATTATTTTGTTAGCTGGGTTATGCATGATTAGTTTCTTAAATTTTTATTTTTTTTTTTTTAATGTGTTCTTTATTTTGTTATTATCTTTAAAATTAATATATAAAGTTAACACGTGAAGTATATAATTCATATGAGTCAACAAAATATCTATATTTATTAATAAAAGTTAAAAAAATTTACAAATACAACTAACAACTAATAAATTAAATTTATTTATAACGTTTATGTACCAACACAATGACACATTAATATTTGAATGTTGTACCGTGTCAACCTATATGCTACATATTAACATTAACCTTTGAAAAATTATGCCATGACAATCTAATAAATTTAAAATCTCTAATTCAACACAAATATATATTTGTGCTTCGTAAAGCCGTTTATTATAAGAATAGATCATACCAAACATAATTTATATCAAATTCAATCCTACCGTATCGTGAAGTGTCCAACGCATTTGACACTTCTACCTCTATCCCGCTATGTTGCGCGGCATCAATCTAACGGAAAAAAAAAATTATCTTTATTTGCTGGAAAAGAAATAAAAATAAAATAGAATCACAAAAAGGGGCATTAGGTTTTCTCCGGAACGCTGACGTTTGACATAAGCATGGCAGCAAACGTATCGGAGCAACTAAACTCGAGTTTCGGCCGCTGTTTGGGATAAGAGAAAGGAAAAGAAAAGAGGAGAAAAAATGGAAGCAGAAGAAGAACAAAAGCCAGAGAACGAACAACCAAGGACCAGTCCAATTACGGAATCCCAATTCCACTCTTGGAAGCGCCAAAAGATCTCTCTCTCTCTCTCTCTCTGCTTTTCCTATAGTAATGGTTGATTTTTCTTTCTACAATTAGGGTTTATAGTTCTCATGTTCTTATTATAGTTTCACCTAATTTCCTATAAATCGCATTTTTGCCTCAATAATAATAGAACTAAGCAATGAATAATTTCAATTTTCCATTAAAATCTAAAATCTTGGAGCTGACAGAGTCCTTAAAAGATAGAGGTTCAATTTCCTTAAGTTTTATTCAATTTCTTCAGTTTTTTCATATTGTATTTCCGAATGTGTTTATTGGACTTCTTAGGTTCTAATTCATGTGATTTTCAGGATGCAGATGCATCAGCTAAGAAAGCTGAGGCAGCTAGGAAACGTGCCAAAGATGTAGCAGCCAGAACCGTGCAAATGAACGGACAGGAGCTTTTCTTACATGAACCTTGGGTGTTTGATAACTCTCAATATTAAGGTTAGTTTCAATGAGAGACCATGTATATTATTTTAAGGTTCTGCCTCTCAAGTTTCAAGTCTTGTTGCTTCAATAGAAGGAAGAATTAGTCCTACGGCAAGAAACAAGTATTTCTAGGTTTTCGGTTCTAACATTGATAGTGTATCTTTAAGTCATTTTACATTTTCCCCTTTGTTTAGTATGCTAACTTTGTTGATACTTAAACTACTGGGATCATTTGATTATTTAATTGACACAGCTTTTGATTGTTATGTTTATAGATTGTGGTTTTGTAATATTGTATTTTGGATTGTCATTCCTAGCTTTTATACAAAGTAAATTATGAAAAATGATCTTTGTGTATTCGAAGGAATTTCTAGTAACAACTTTCCTCTGGATCCAATGCTAATTCAGCAAGCAATTTTTGTAGTTCCTTAATTCTTACTTAAAATGTGGAATGGCTTTTAGTAAGTATATCAAAGGCAATTCAACTATCATCAAATGTCTAACAGATCTAAGTTAGTTTCAAAGAAATCTCATCTTCAGTTTCTTGTTTAGCTAAAGTATGATGGCATCCATATACACACACAAAAACAGGTGGTAGATGAATGAGGTTAGAAATCAAGATTGGACTGATTGGGAGCTAGCATGTGTGATAGCAGGTGATTCTAGGATTTAGGGAAATAAAGAAGAGGTGATGGAATATATGCGTTCTAAGATTCAGGACAAGAAGGAAGAAGTGGTGAAAAATATTTTATTATGCTATATCTTTTTTCTTCTACACCTATCAGAATTTCTTATTCTCAAAACCTAATTCACGAAACAAAACAATCTGAGGAATCAGGCAGAAACATTATCTCATATTCTTACAGCATTGGGTGATACAATTGTGTATAAAAACTTGGATTGTATATCGTGTCTGGTTTTAATAAGAGAATATGCACTTAAGTGCAATGGTATTGTAATGTGAATAAAGAGTATTCTACACCTTAGTAATATGAGAAGCTTGGTATACCCAATATTCCTGAAATTTAAACTAGGTGAGTTCTTGATCTGTTTAGTACCAATTACCATGTCAGTCCTTCAGAGGTCTCTTCTTGTGGGGTCTTCAGGAGTAGTTAACTAGCCTGCCAAACACTCCAGCAGCCCCCCATTCCTGGCATGATAGCTTGTTAATTTTCTTTTTCAATGTTGTATCTAGTAAGTTAGCGAAAATGCTTTATTTCCGGGGAACCCAAATTAGAGTGGAGAACCTTTGGTTGAATGGCTAGACAAAGCAGCTCTTGAATTTTGGTTAAGTGGTAAAAGGTACTCGGGCTTCGAATCTGTTGGAAGGTTGTGAAAAAGTAATTTCCCATTAATTTTTCAGGCTCGGTGTATATAGGCATGCTTGGAGCAGCTCTTGAATATTGAAAAAATTGAAATTGGGGAATGTCATACGGTTCATGTCCATGACTCAAAACTTGTGACCCGAAGAACTGATTGTTTCCCCAATATTGAACGCTTTAATGTGTTGCATGCTAATAGTGCATATATACTATATGGCCAGCAAACATATATTCTTTTTCTGTACATTTAAATAGAGTCATTGAGAATGAAGAGTTGAACCCCAAACGTTGAGTTAATGATGCAAATATGCCTAATGCTAAATCCCTGTATAAGGCAGTATTCTCTGCTATGCATAAAAGAATGAAAAATTGCAGGAAAGGGATTTAGGTGGATTTAATGATCAATAAATAAAGGAGTTTTCCACAATCAATTATATGTTCTATAACATCGTTTCTCTAATTTTCGTTCGAATAATGTGATATTTATCATGTTTTATTAGTTTAAAAATTTGGAGAATTTCAAATTTTGGATTTCTTTTGGAGGAGATTATATTATAGTGTATAATAAGATATTTCATTTGAGATGAAGGTTCTTTTATTTTCCGGTTTATTATGTTGATCTTAGCCTGGCTTCATAAAAAGATAGAATATTGCCATTCGAATATTATCAATAGATACATCACTCAAAGAATGACTTTTTATTCATAAATAGATGTCTATTAAAGGACTTTAAACCAAAACAAAGCAAAACAAAGAGAGAGGATCAACCCCTAAATGGATCAATTGCCTTGTTATCTAAAACCCTCATCTATGAATTCGAAGCACCGAATAAACACAAACTTTAAAACGAAACAAACTGAATGAAATAAATTCCTTTGCCTTATTCCATTTTTATTACAACCACAGCAGCACATGAATGCGCTTTTCGGGGCATCTTCCAACTTGATCTCAATACCATCCAAACTGCCCAGCAAGCGCACCAGAGCTTTTAGGGTTTTTCTCTGCATCAATCAAGTCAAATCGCATTATGCATAATCGATTAATTACAATTTGAATTTCATGCCAGCAAGTGTATGAAATATTTCAGACACAGTATACCAATTTTTCTCCGGTTTAGAACCTAGAAAACATTTTCGACTAGCCTTGTTAATGTTTCATTCAAGTTATATCTCTTTATATCTATGCATTAGTATGCAATAAAACAGAAAGGGCTCTGATCGGATCTCCCTATTGGGGAGATTGAAGCAACCTAGGACGAGGGTTGAAGAACTGACCCCAGCTTCTGCTGCAAGGCTTCCAGCTCTTTACGAATTTGAAGGATTACACGTCGAATCTCCTGTGAAAAGCGAAGAGGATTTTAAGTGAAAACCTTTTTCTTTTTGCTTCAGCCTCAAATAACAATTTATTTGGATACAAATATATTACCTCCATCCTTTTTTAGCGAGGGTAGAACAGTTAGGCCGAAATTATAGAAACACAAAAAGAAAAGAGAAGTTATTATTTGTAGCAAAATTAACATATCCAAAAATAATAAAAAATGGCAGGTATAAAAAAATAAAAAAAATTTATATTTGATGCTATTTATTATAGTGAACCACACAATAAAATCTCAAAATATAATTTTAAGATTGAGTGTATTTGCTTTTTAGAATTTTAAAATTTTAAAATTAATTTTTTATAAGATAATTATGTGGTTCACTAACAATATATAGTATTTTACACTAGTATATTAAATATAGCTTGTATATTTTGTGGGGTAGAGAGATAACCAGTTGATTAGAATATCCAGTTCCCGGTTAGCGTAGATCTGAGCAATCTGGTTCATTATATCCTGTTTCATGTAAGCATGCCACCATGCAAAGCCATAAGTAAAAGAATTAAATAAATTTTTATATAAGGTTTCTTATATGAAAAAAGAGATAATAAATGAATTAATTAATATATCAGCCACTACCTCATCTTCATCTTCATAATATTCATCATCTCCATAACCTTCATCAACTTCTTCATCACTGCACATAATTTATATTATCAAACCATACAGAAGAAAAAAAAAACTAAGGTTTTGTTTAAAAAATGAAAATAGTTCTGTGAACTTTTTACAATCTGAATGAAGTTATATATTTATATATATGTATGTATGTATGTATATTCTTCTACCTGATTGTAATTGAATCTGGAAGATCGTTAGGGATCAAAGCATCCTCATCAGGCCTAGAGACAAAGGAATTACATGAAATGAAAAAAAGAACTCGGGAAATATAAAGTGAATTAAAATTTGTCAACTTTTTTAATATAATTCCTTCTTATTAAACAAAAAAGAAGGATATAATATATATACCTATTGGTGGGATGTTGGGATGGCAAAAAGAGCGAGTTAAGGTCAGGCAAGACTGAGGGCCTACACATAGGATTTGAGCGCGGCTGCTCTTGATGGGACCTCTCCTCGTTAGTGGCCGATGGCTTAGCCATAAATGAGAAGAGAATGTATAGAGGTAACTATAGCTAGAAGAGAGCTTTGGTTTGTCTGAGTAGTGAGTGAAGCATAATTGGAGAAGGGTTGCTTCCTTTTATAGCAGAAGTAAAACCTTGGGCTTTGACAGGTGTTTGCTATGCATTGCAAGTTCGCACTTTTGCTTAGGGCCACTAGGGAAATTTGAAATCCCTGGTAGAGTTCTTAATTTCCCCCGCTTTAAGGGTATTTTGGACAGAGAATCTCAATTTATATATCTTAATTTTGAGATATTCTAAATTCTTCAAATGTTTGGCGGTAACTTTATAGGAAGAATAAAATAAATAAATAAATTGAATATGCATTCGAAAATAAGTTTAGGGTATTTGGTGCTTTATTTTCTCCACACTACAGTATATTTTTTTGAGATTGATCACCTCTCTCTTTAAAGTTAATACAAATTATATATTATCTTTTCTTTTTAATATTCAATTCGTAAAGCACGTGCATGAGGATCGATCGATGATTTATTTAACTTATATTATATGGAAACTTGCTTTCTTGATTCTCTTATAATAACGTTATCGCCAATTATTTACCTAAAAATTAAAATAAATAACACGTGGAGATAATATTTATTATACAAAAAATTTTATTCTTTCAAATCGATTATGTTATTATAGGTGCCAACAACATTATGTTATTATTGCCTTTTTTTTATAATTATTATGTAACATAAGACGACATTAAAACCGATTGAAAATAGAATTTTTAATTATTATATTAAAAAATTTGTTTTTGTCATTTTGAGTATCTTATGATTAAGTTATGAAGTTTGAATTATTTTTAATATCTTGTAGAAAAAGGAACGACAATTAAAATCCTTCAACTGTAAATTAATAGATTGTATGATTTTTGGCAATATTCCCCACTTTATTTTAGATTAAAATTGAATATTCCTTACTAGTCTCCATCAATATATAAGCTACCCACCATTTGTTAATATTATTATTTTGAATCTTCCTTCCTTACCTTTCCCACACTTGGATGACTAAATTGCTCATAAAAACACCATAATAATCAGAAAATGTTGTTTCTAAGCTACAAGAACTTATCCCAGTGAGGTATTAACTGCAAAATAGCACTCATCTTTTGTATGCAACAATGCCACTACTATTTTTTACTTATCTGTGACTGCACCAAAATTTTGTCACTCTGTAATTAAAGTTAATAATGATTCTTTGTTTGGTATTATTTTGCTAACGTTCCGCTTTATATATGGAAATGAAATCAAGGCTTTATATATGAAAATAAAATCAAAGCCCGAAAGCATTCCTGTTTGCCAGGTGAATTTGTGTGGGTTCCACAGGTTTTTGAGGGATCATAAATATTCTAGATTTATTTGAACCAACTTAAGGTAAATATCTGATTACTAGGATAAGGATAAAGTAAATTGTGGACCTTCCAAGATTATATATATGGTATACGAAAATCTGACTAATTAAATAAAAAAAATCTAGCTAATTAAATTTGGGCAAGTCAATCAATTGTGGTTCAAACTTTTAATTTTAATTGATAGGGCAAATTTTGGTTATTTTGAAGTAGATAATTAAAACTATGTTTTAGAGAAAAAGCTAAGAATTAACCCAATTTGCAATTACAGTTGTCGCCAGAATTTAATGTCAATTTTTTAGTTTAGAAAACATTAGTGTAAGCAAAAAAATTTGCAATTACACTTCCCAAAAGCTACTATAATTGTTTTCTATTTCTTCTTTAGATTGGTGGCTAATAATTCAAATTAAGAACAATCATAGTCAAGCCAAACAAAAACAATAGATAATGATAATTGTTGATACCGAACTTCGACTTGAGAGTATTTTTATAAATGTACTTGCATTTGCATTCTGATACACAAGTCAATAAAGATCAAATAAAAAAGAAAGTGAGAAAATAAAAAGGAGATAAAGATGTAAATTAGAGAAACTTGGCTTTATGGTGCCTGAATCTCCATATTTATAGGTAAACTAAGACATATAAAAAGAGGACAATTAAGATAGGATCAAGTGGCATTGGAGATGTTAGATCGATTTGTCATGTTAGATTGACACAAATGATTAAAATATTCTTGGTTGTCTACTGAAAACTGAAAGAGACAAAAAGATCACTTTGCTCTTTTGATCATTATATGCCCCTAACAGTAATATTTTTAGTTATGTGTATACTCATGAATCTTCATTTTACATGGAAAATATATTTAAATTATGCAAAACAAACCAAATCAATTGACAAAAATGAGTAATTGGATTCTCGACTCAATCATTCCTACCTCGCCTACTAGTAAGACTTTTAAAATAAAAATCTAGTTAAAATTTATAATTAATGAATAGAAAATATTTTCTTGAACCTTGCACTAAATAAAGACTAACCGGATCAATACAAGTCAAGTAACCAACAAAGTAATAACACTCCCAAAGGTTTGGTGACTAAGTGTTTAAGATCCATGGTATCTCTTATCTCAAGATCCACAATATTTGGAAGTTTAGATCTATCCTGGCATGCATTTATAAATAGCTATGACATCAAATTTTCAAACATTCTATCTTTTTTTATGTGAACTAACAAAAGAGCAAGGTATACCCACTATGACAATAGATTGGCACTAAGTTGGTGCCAGTTTTTCTATAAGCTTTCTTCCCAACAGTAGTTCCAGCAGTACAACACCAAATGCATAAATATCATTCTTTTCTACTAATTTACCTAAAAAACCAGACAACATATTTAACTTCTTATGAGGAATTATAAATTTCATGAAATAGACTAAAAACATTTATATTCACACCTAAAATGAAAACAATACTTCTAATTTGCCATTTATGATTGAATATGGCAGCAAGTTTACGTTTACGCTTTTAGCTAAAATAGTCTAACATAATGCAAGTAAAGAGTATTCCGTAAATGTCAGATAATCAATAAGATTTTAGCTAAATTATGACTTTATGAAAACAATTAAACCTCTAAATTTGTCATTAACTACCCAAAAGATCTCAATAGGTAGCCAACATTATCTGTACACAAAAATATAGTTTTGCCAACTATTACTTCAATCAATTAAAAATATGAAATTTAACTGGTTGAGCTAGCAAAAATAAATTTTTTTAATGATTTTTAAAATTACAAAAGATCAACAATTTGCACCAAAACCAAGGGTGGAATGCTATACTATATTGCTTAATACATTAGGCCAACCAAAATAAGAGTTTAGCACCCACCATCCCAAAAATTTGTAATTATAGAATGCGCATCGATCTGTTGTTATTTTGAATGCCACAGCTTGCTCCAAACGCTGTAAGAGAGAAAATATTAATTACAGAGGAATAATTTAAACACCAATTTTGAAGCATTTTGAAAGCAATTCAAAATTCGCGTTTTTTATAATGACCAGAACCTCATGTGGAAGCTGCAAAACACCCACAATACTAAAAATCCTATATCCTTTGAAACTAGGAGTTTTCATCCTTGGTCATGTCATTCTCAGTGAGCCCAACTGCTAGTATGTCCATTTTCCATTCTACCACATCGATATCTTTTGCAACAAAAGAGATCTTTCCAGCATTTTTCACAAAAGGGCAACAACCATTTAGTATATTTTTTGGTATTTCACCAAAACAAACATACACAAACAAAACAACCTTTACATATTAAGACCAAAAGTGAATCCAAGGATCCAAGTAAGATGTTCTTTTCTTATGAATATTAAAATCGATAATGTTTCGCTAATCTTTACTCCAAAATTTCAGAATTGAGCCTATACTTGTCAATCCAATGACATGCACATCAAAATATCAACTTCTAAAAACCCTTTAAAGATCAATTCACAATCAAAGGTCAAATATTAAAAAAAAAAATTATCTCTAAAAAATTAACAAAAAAATCACTCTTTTTGAAAAAGATAAGTAACCCATTTAGCAAAAGCTCAACAATTTTAACTCAAAACTTTCAAACCAAACCCAAAAAGTCAATCAAAATAAGAATTTTGCTTAAACCCAATAGAGGAAAAAAAAAGGCTCATTTTGGGGTGATCAATGTTGGCTGGCTAAGTGGTGCGAGCGATAGTGTGTGCCATGAACTTGACTCTTCGAGAACACAAACGAGCAACTGCAAATGAAGAACGTAAATTGGTGAAAAACAAAAAAGAAGAAGTAGAAGGAGAAGAGTGATAGACAAATAAAGCTAAAAGAGAAGTAGCCAAAGACACTACAATGGTGGCGACCATTTTTCAGTGCAGGATAGTCTATGTATTTATATTGAACCTCTCTTAAAAGGTCAAGCACTTAAGTTGATGCATGCATTGACATCATTTTTTTGGTATCTCATCTCATCTATCTTCCTACTTACTTTCTTGGGTGCTTTATTCCTTGCTTTTTACCTTTGTTGGCCTTTGGGTTAAGTTTTCTTTTTAATTTTTTTTGACTTTGCCAACATATATGTTCTAAACCTCCTTACATCATCATAGGATGTTGGAAAAAAATAAAAAAATATCTCGTCCATGCAAAAATGAAGTTTAAAGTAGGAATGTTACCTTGAAAACCATTGCTAGAGACATGACGATCTATTTTTCTTGATCCTCTTGGGTTTGTATTACAATTAATCATGAGTGGACGCTATTGTAGCTAATAAAGAAAGTTTTAAATCTAAATAGATTTTCAAATCTAACATTTAAAACAATCAAAGAAGAAATGGCAAAAAATGCTTAAAATACCTTATAACGTTACGTATTCTGAAATGGCTAAGAAATAGAAGGGTAAAGCCCTAAAAACATTTTGCTTACCTTAAGACCATTTGCCATCAATAACCTTTTTTTTCTTTAAAGTAAACGGTCATCTTTGTCTTTCAATCGCAAATATACGGGCTACGAAATAGCCTCGCATTTTCTTTATTTTCATAATGAAGAGAAAGAGAGTGAGAGATAGCAAAAAGAAAGGCAGTAGAGAAGGGGAATCGGGAGAGAGAAGCTTCTAGTAGCTTCAACATTGATCTATTTTGAAATCATTAAAAAAATGGAGA